AACTCCACCAGACAATGACCCCATGTAACATTATTGGCTTAATAATGATTTCATATAGCCACTGCATCACTTTTGGGGAGAGGCCCCATCTCTTCCCCATGGCATTCTTGCAGCAGTAGAGAGCCACCGATGCCTTCTTTACTCGTTCCTCAATATTTGGTTTTCATGACAACTTCCCGTCCAGGATCACTCCCTGTCGGAGAGAACAAGTGGAAGACCCCCTATTGAGGGGAGCTGAGCATGGGGCTGTACCACCTGGTAAAAACAACGAGGTCCATCTTTCCAGGATTGACAGCAAGTCCGAAGCTAGCGGACCAATTTGTGACCATGTTTAGGAACCCTTGCATAATATCGTACAGAGTGTTCAAGAACCTTCCTCTGACGATGAGTGCCACGTCATCCTCTCCTTTCCAACTCATCCAAGACGTCGTTTATCACGACTATCCAGAGAAAGGGTGAGAGGACGCCTCCCTGCGGGGTGGCTCTGCTCACTTTACGCTGCTCAGAGGCGTTGCCCCATTCCGCTGTAACAGTCCTGTCGTGGAGCATATATGAGATGAGCCTTACTAAGTATCTCTCGACTCCGAGCTTAGTAAGGGCTCTTATAAACGCCCCAGGCAGGACATTATTAAAAGTCCCTTCGATATCAAGGAAGGCACCTACTACAAAATCTTTATTCTTAAGAGACTCCAGTATGACTTTGACAATTGAGTTCAGAGCAGATTCTACGGATCTACAATTCAGGTAGGCATGCTGAGAGAGGCTAGAACGTTCCCGAGGAATCCTGTTTCTTATGTACAGGTCAATCAGTCTCTCAAAAGTCTTCAATAAGAAAGATGAGAGACTGATTGTTCTGAAGTCCCTCGGGGATACATGAGCGTTCTTTCCTGCTTTGGGGATGAACGTGACCCTTACACTCCTCCAAGCCCCCTATTTCTAAGCAGCTCGCATAGATAGGAGTGAGCCAGCGGCACGAGACCTCCACATCCTTTTGCAGCTACGCAGGGATGATGCCATCCGGTCCAGGGGACTTAAAAGGCTTGACAGAAACAATCGGCCAGAGCAGTCGGCGCCTCTCCAGTAGTTCATCAGAGGAGGAGGTAAGGCAGTCGCCCGTTCCAACACCGGTGGGCTCACACGGTGCCGAATTTTCTGGGAAATGAATGTCAAGGAGTAGCTTAAGCGATTCCTCTCCACTCATCGCCCAGTTGCCCTCTTCGTCCCTCAAGTATCCCAAGGGTACGGGATTCCTCGCGAGGATTCGCCTGAATCGCGATGATTCATTACAATCTTCTACGGCTTCGCAGAAATTTCTCCATGACTCGATTTTGGCCTCTCTTATCTCGGACTTATAGATGCCCTGTCTGATCTTATAGAGTTCCCAGTCGGAGTATTGTCCACTCTTCTTGGCCTTGTTGAAAAGGCGTCTACTCGACGCTCCGATTTCTGACAGTTCCACCGTCCACCATTTTGGTCGGACTTTGCCCCCGGGCCTACTCAGCGGGCATGAGCTTTCTATGGCACTCTTATAAGCTGGTGTAAACTTCTCCATCATGACATCAATCGAGCCTTCGGTGCTTGAGCTCTCCTGGGGGGCCTCTGGTATTAGTTCCCGCAGTTTTTTCTATAGAGGTCCCAGTTTGTTTTTCTAAGATTGCTAAAGGGGATACTCTTAGGACGGTCTTCGTCCAGAAAACACTGAATATACCTATGGTCCAAAAAGAAGTGATCATTAAGAACCCTCCAATCGGAGACGGAATATACGGACGACGAGGCTAGTTTAAATTCAAAACCCCTCGCCTAGCCGCGGGGATAAAGGTCGGTTCGTTTCCTCTATTACAAATACATGAGTCCTCACTTAGAATATAATCAAAAATGGACTCACCTCTTGCATTGATATCTGAGCTTCCCCAGCACGAGTATCATGAATTGGCGTCCGATCCGATAATTACGTCGGCTTTCCGTCGCCTTACTTTGGCTATGGCTTCACGCAGTAGTAATAGAGGTGGTTCCTTCTCGTTTTCATGTGCCATGTATGCGGATATAATCCAGAGCTTTCTGGCGCCGCTATCCAGGCTAACAGTCACAATGTTCTCATTGCTAAAATTAGGTAGAATCAGTGCTCTTAATTCGTTTCTGATGAGCATGCACCAGTTTCTGCACCATCAGCTTGAAATTAGGCGTCCTGATCCCGGAGATACCGCTACTGCTTCGCCACGGCTTCTGGATCAGGACTACGTCGGCTCCACCTTGCTTAAGGTGGATAAGGAGATTTGCGGACGCCGCCTTAGTGTGTTCGAGGTTTATTTGCAGGATCTTCATCCACCAAAGTCCTCTCCAGCCACGCCAGTTCGACGTCCTCGTTTACTGAGGCTAAGAGCCTCTCTTCCTCCGCCCTGTCGTAGAACCGTCCGATACTGATGACGGAGCCCTCCGTTGAGAAAGCATCCTCAGCACTTTTGGCCTCCGACATGACGGATTCTACCTCCATACTCATGGGGGCTTCCTCCGCCTAGGACTCACGCATTTCCGGTACTTCAGGAGATTGCGAGCCATCACCCCTGAAATCGGATTGGTAGACCCTAAGGACTATCCTTTCGAATCCATAAGTGATGACTCGCCTGGACTCAGCGAGGGGGCCGAGGGATTCCGCATTGGGCAATATCAGCGCTTGTCGTTGTGACTCCTCGGAATCCTCGGACGCCTCAAATCTGACAACTCGCCAGTTGTGCGTGGGCAGATGCGGGTTGCAGAATCGGAGGATTTCCTCAATCTGCTCCGGTGCGGAGGGCTCGGGGGGAGCCAGACACGGGCACGTGGGCGGGCAGGAATGTCCTGCTCGTCCACGGCTTCCAGCTTGGCGCCCTCCCAAACCTCCTCCACCAGAGCCAATGCAGCCTTATAAAGAGATGCCGACCGCTCGTTGGCGCAGACAATCTCCTTTTGTGGATGGCATGACGGCATCCACCATCCTCACATCGCGGAGGTGGACCAGGGTTTCCCCTGACCATCCTCAGAAAAACAGAGGAGATGGCTGATGCTCGCGACTCCAGTTTTCCCTGGATATGGTGCCATCTTCTCTACTTCGATTTCGCTGAACTGAACAGGGGCACCCCCATTCCTGGGTCTTTTTGCGCGGGAGCTTTCTCCCTCTTGAGACCTTTGTCTCTTAGGACCTGCAGGATGCGCACTCGCGTCCCTTTCGGCGGGTTCTTAGCCCTCTCCTCCAGGCCACATAGTACCCCTTTGGCCCACTCGAGCGTTTTCGAATGTTGCTCAGCTAGCTGAGAAGCATCCTGACCGCCATAGCGCTTCAAAATCCTGGTAGCCATGCGCCTGTCTGAGTAAACCTTTCGGTCTGACGATACCTGCCGTTTAGGCAATCCCAAAGGCTTCTTGTGGAGAGCCTTCGAGGACATACCCGGAAAACTGGATGAAGAGCCCGAGCTGGTGCTGGCGCTTCCGTCCCTCACCCCCCTAACTGGCTCGCTAAATCCGGCTCCTTGCCTAGAGACCCCCACGGAGTCCGGTTCCGGCACTTCTGCCTCCCCGGCGGCGACTGCACCTGCCCCCAGAAGCATTTAAGTGCGTCGGCTTCGACGCGCTCTTACCCCCCGAATGACTATCCGTTAAGGATCCCCCAGAGGTGGAATTAGTAGAACGCGGCGGTTTCGCCTCGCGGACCGTAGGTGGTGCTGTAGCCCCCAGATGAGCTGGCTTTGGGGTCGGCTCCGGCTCTCCACCACCGCTCGAAAGCTTATGTTTCTTTTGGTTATTTTTTGGTTTTTTGATTTCGTTTTCTTTCATGTTTCACTGGGTCCCCACTCAGAGCCGCTATCCAAAACCCGAGCGTGTAGTCGCCTTTAAATGGTCCAATAGCTACCTCTGAACAAGACTATGGCGAGGGTTGAGACATGCCCTTATGGGGTCATGAGTTCGGAGCCGACCAGCGCAAAAACGGGAGTCATCTAAACCGCACCAAACCACCAACTTAACGGCGACGGGAATCGGAACCTACTCTGAGGCCTGCCAGGGTTTTAACGGGACGGGGGCAGTTGCGGCATTAGCCCACCAGCCATTTCTGCTGAGTGTCACCTCAGCATACTCAGGTGATAGAATACCACAACCACCATCTCAAGGATCGATAAATCCAAATCGTTTCAAAAATCGTAGTCAGAGGACGAAGCCAAGTCGTTACCATTCAGGTTTAGAGGCCGAAGTACATTTGGCGTTACCCAGGATGCACCACGTGGAGGCGACCTGCTCTACACCCCAAACAAATGATAAAAAGTCACTTTTTTAAATTGGGACATAGGTTCTCACTTATAGTTTTATTTTCCATTTAAAATTTACCCTTAACTGTTCGAACTTTACAAAAAAAAGTTCACTTGAAACTTATAAAATAAACCGGTTGCGCAAACATCGTATCAATAACATTTTGAAAGTGTAACTTTGGTTTATTGCTGTCTAACCGTGACTAAGTGAAGTTTCTGTTATTTTGGAGTATTTCCTACAGAATTGCAACAAAAAATAATGTAAAACTGCCTTTACGAAAGTGAACTTTCGCATAGTCAAATGAATCATTTGACCTAATGTGCACTGGTTAGAAAGCTTCTGTCCTATGAAGAAAATATTTAAAAATTTTTTATTTTATTTTGATACAACATCAAAATGTTTAAACTCTTACATTTCCAATTGAAATTGCTTTCAGATATGTATGTACCTCAGTGTACAATATACATATGTTCAACTTACCTTTATTCATATTTTTTCAACAAAACCAACAAATTATAAAAAAGTTGGAGATGTTTGCAAAATTTATATTTTACAAAATAATTTGGGGAACTTTTCTAAAAAACGTTTGGAAACCGGATTACTTCAATGTTTATTGGGTTATACCATTTATTTGAATCTTCTTGATTTGCTAAATTTCTAGATATATTTTTTTAAAATTTTCAAACAAATAGTTTATGTTTTTCATTTGTTTCTCTTTTCTTTAGGTTCCCGAAGATGTTCCCGTTGGCTATGTAGTCGGCTCGGTAAGCCCCAATGAACGCATCGACCAGCAAAATATAATCGACAGCAATAGTGATCTCTTTATCACATACACCCTCGCATCACAGGGAAAGGACATAATCGAAGGTGCATTCGACATTGACCGCCATACGGGTTCGCTGGTGGTCGCACGTAAACTAGATCGCGAAACCCAGTCCGAGTTTCGTTTAGAGATACGAGCCTTGGACACAAGCGCTAGCAACAACCCCCAAAGCAGCGCAATCACGGTAAAGGTGGAGATCGCCGACGTAAACGATAATCCGCCCAGATGGTTAAATGATCCCATTCACCTGCAAGTTAGCGAATCTACCGTTATTGGCGCTATAATCTACAACTTTAGTGCTACAGATACGGACTCGGGTAGCAATAGCTACCTTCAATATAAGCTCTTAAGTTACACGCCCCTCAACAACGACAGCAGCGAATCCTTCAGCGAACAAACATCGGCAGAACTCAAAGATGCAGAACCACTATTCTGTATTGATGCGCTAACTGGTGCACTAGCACTGCTTGCCCCACTCGATTATGAGGAGGTACGGAGCTACATACTCATCGTTGAGGCCATGGATCAGCCGTCTAATGTGAGTTCGCGCCTGCGTACCACAGTTACAGCCGTTTTACAGGTGACGGATGTTAATGACAATGCGCCACAGTTTGTGTTTCCTGTTACTATCAGCACACCAGCAGAGCATCGATTCCACATGCCACCCGTCGCCACAATACGAATCAGTGATGCACTGCGCATTGGCGAAACAGTTGCTCATATCGTGGCTGTGGATCGAGATGCGGGCGCGAATGGAGAAATCACCTATGCAATTGTCAGTGGTAACGAGGCGGGATACTTTCAGATGAATTCAAGGGCGGGTTATATTGAGTTAACGAAATTAATACCACCGGTTATGCTGGGTAGCTCTGGCGAAAAACCGGTGACTTCTAGTGTTCAGAGGAACAGTTATAATTTGGTAATAAGCGCCAGTGATAATGGCAAACCAACGGCTCGTCAATCGCTGTTGAAGCTACATATTTTAGTGCAAGGAACTAGCAGGAATCCACCACGTTTCCATCAATCAGTGTACTACGCGAACATAACCGAGAACACAGCCAAAGGTACATTTGTGCTGCAAGTGACAGCGAAATCTTTCAACGACAATGGTAAGTTCAAAGATTTCACATTACTATAACATTTAACTATATTAAAGTTATTATGAATCAGAGCAAGCAACCGAAGAAAACACCGTGTGACAAAAACCCAAACATCTCAAAACCCACAAAAAATCAATGTAGGCTCCTAATTTGACAATAGCTGTCAGATGTACCTAAAAAGTAGCTTACGATTTTTTTACTTTTTTATTATTTTCAGACAATTGGTAACAAATTTATACATTATTTGCATTAAGAAGAAAGTCACTAATATATCAGTACAGTTGAATTAATATTCATAACAATTCAATAAATATATATGTATGAGCATTGGGGTGCTCCACAAAAAAAAAAAGTCGGAATTTTAATGCACTCACCCTCTAGGATAGTACAATACCGAAAAAAGTAGGTTTTGTTTGGGAATGAAAATTTTTTTGGGGGTCGCTCAAAGCACTCAAAGCTTTCCATGTACTTTATATGTCGAAAAAATAAGTTTTCGTATAAAACGACGTATCGAAAAACTTTGTTTCTCTTATAGGTCCCCTAAAACCCCTCACAAAATGCAATGGGGGCCCATAAATATCGCTTGTATTTAAAAATGGTAAAATAAACTATCGGAAGCAACGTTTTTCGATCAAAATAATATTGATTTTCAAGAATTCTATACCATTTTACTCAAAATTTGACTTATTTATCCATCGTTGCAAGCTAAATTATTAATTTAAGGAACTTAGCCACTTTGCTTAGATTTCTTGTTGCCACAATAACATGTTCAAAATTATATATGAGTTGCCATTTTTCTTTGTTTACAAAAATTTTCGTACATTTTTTTTGCGAGCAACATAGCCTTTGATATTTATATTTATTTGGCTATCGTCTAATTGTCCCTAAATTGAGCTCAGTGTACCGAATGTACCTTTTGGTTCGAAAAAGTCGGAGAAGGGTATAATTATATATAATAATAATTGTACCTAATTTTCCATTCCTGCTCTGACGTCAGAAGTTGTTTTAAAAGTAGTTTGGAAATTCGAAGATGTGATTAGTTCAAAATATTGTTTAAAAAGTTCGATGCAATGTGGTATAGCAATACGGGTATCAAATAAAAGATAAAAGTCTGTATACATAATTGAAAATAACTATATCTTTTGTTGGACAAGGTCGAAGTGGTATTGAAGATAAAGTTAGAAGGGCGAAATTGGAGTATGTTGTAGTATACATATTAGTCCTGAACATCTATTTTTCCAAATATAATTATGGGAAATTTTCAAGTATATTGAAGGATAAAGTTTTAAGAGGACTTTTTCAATACCTATTCGTTCTTTTGGGCTAACAAATTTAGTTGTTTCAAATTCTAAAGAATTTTCTATTTTTTTATACCCATATTGTTATTTAATATTGCACTGACCTTGTTAAGTCATTTTCGGTAACAATCAGGGGGGTTGGACAAAACATGTTTTTTCAAGACGAAAACATCGCGTTTTATTCAAAGAACAGGAAAAAACTATTTGAACAAGTTTTTGTAAATGTTTTAATTTACATGTTTTATATACTTATATATATAAAAACTCGTTTAAAACAGTTTAATAATTCAATACTTTCCAAATTAAGGGTGAGATACATACATCCTTGGACGCTCGTTCACATACTATATCGAAAATAGTAGTTATATTTCATGACCTGAGTGGAAGATCGAACTATCCAGTCCGAACTAGCCAGTTCGAAAATGCCCTATTTCAGAAAAATTTTCAAGAACGCCCTATTTCAGAATTTGGTTGAAGATCTTCCTATCTCAGTATTCGGTTCAAAAACTCGCTTTCTCAGCTGCTGATTCAAAAACGCCCTTTCTCCCTTTCAATACATTTTCATTTGAGATAGGACATTTTTAAACGGAATTCTGAGATAGGCACACGGCAATAAGTCAAATTTGTGTTATTTCCCAATTGAAAGTGAATTAACACAAATTTACTTGATTTGTTTCTGTAGTGTTATTGCGCTTTGTACCACGATTTGTTTGTTAGGAAAAATGGGTTATTCACATCCCGTAAACTCTTGTTGCTAATCCATTCCCTTATTCAACCAACTACTTCAAGTGCAGCTGATTTGCCGCTATTTAAACCTGACAGCGTGGTTGTTATTGTTAATTCCATACATTAAAAGGATCCATTGTATAGTTTTAGGCAGGCTCGTCCCAAACTATTTATTTATTTATTTAATGTCTTATAACTATTCAGAACAGACATTTAAGAAGTTAATATAATATGAATAAGAAAAAATAAAAATACAGCAAGTACAATTGAAATTATTTAGATACTAACAAAAGAAATATTTTAATTGTTAATTGAAATTCACAAATTTGCATTAAAATAAATAATTAATAATACATGGCAATAATATTAAAACGTGTGTGATGTATTAATTTAAGTTATTACATAGAAAATAGTTTTTTAGTAGCGTTTGAAATAAATGTTTGGTACCAGAGAGGTTCAAATCGATAAAATTAGAGAGATAATTAAACTCAGACATCGACTGTCTTACAAAAGCCAACACGAAAAACCTTAGTACGACAAAAATTTCTGCATGGAATATTGAAGCGTATCCCTTCTAGAAAAACGGGCATTCAAATTTGCCGTTGACAAGACCAAAGATAAATGAAATTTTATAGTGGCGCATGGGCGTCGCCAGGGGGGGCTGATATATAAAAAAATCCCTCGAAAATTTTATTTCGAAATTTTAATGTAGCTGATTGATTAATCCTTATTAATACATATGTGTAAACTAAATGGTTCCATTTGAAAAGGCAATCTAAACCAATAGCTAAATATAAATTTATGGTGATTTCGTTTCTTCCAAAAAATGTTGCCCTTCCCCGGTGCAAAATGTGTTTGATGTTACATTAAACCCTGTAAAAAGACATGTTTTTGCCTTCTTGTCCTTGTCTAGCTCACACATTTCATTAAGTTGTCGTTTTAAACATCCATATAATTTTCAGTTCAACCGTCTCCCCTGATAAAGCTTCACAGGGCAGAGAGTGCGGCATTTTAAGAAACGAACACACAATTTTCTCACCCTTTGCCTTTAATTTAGAATCGAGCACGAAAAGAGAAAGGGGTAATGAAAAGGCAAAATTTTTTGGTAAAAACGAAATCACCATTATTTTAGTAAGTAGAGTGGAGTACTAAACTTACATTTTATTGACTTGTTTTCATACAAATAAAAGAATATTAATCGGAAATCGACTCCTGACTGGAAGCTCGACCTATTTCAGCAGCCAGTTCCAAAACACCGTATTTCAGAAAACTTTTCAAAAACGGCTTATTTAAGAATTTGGTTAAAAAATTCCCCATCTCAGAATTTTACTGAAGACCGCCCTATCTCAGAATTCGGCTCAAAACCACCCTATCTCAGCACATATTCAATATATTTCCATTTAAGATAGGGCGTTTTTCAACCGAATTCTGAAATAGGGCGTTCTTAAACCAAATTCTAGGTCTTTTTCAATAAAATTCTGAAATAGGGCGTTCTTGAAAAGTTTTCTGAGTTAAGGCGTTTTCGAACTGGCTGCCGAGATAGGTCGATCTTCCACTCAGGTGTCGAAATATAACTACTATTTTCATACCACAAAAATATGTAGAACAGGCGTATAAAAATGATTATATGTGAATTTAATACATATCGTCACCCTTATGACAGAAACATGAATGTGTAAATTTACCGATTTTGAGACACAATGGAAAATAATGTCTAGCAAAGAATTATGTATTTTAAAAGAGCCAAACGCTCTAAGCAAATATAAAGTAATAAAATTATAGTTTAAAAAACTAAAACCTCGCTATTAAAACTTCCATTCATACTGTCACCATGTTACTATAAGAACGGAAGTTTAAAGCAACTCAAATTCATACTGTCATCAGGTATGTAATTGAGAATGGAAATCGCTGCATCTTTTAGGCGCATCAATATTACATAGTTACATCCCGAGCTAATAGAAGCGAGGTAATAATAAAAAGAGACGCACTTTTCTGAGCAAGGAGTCGCGTTTGCCCACCGTTGCCCTATGTTATTCGACGCCCTCTATGCGAATCCGAGGTCTGTTAGCCTCTATCACGTCAAGTTCGAGGTCATTTGAAGGTCAGGTAGGGAAAAACTTTATGAATAAACCTGAAAATTCAATACAATTCTTCTGAATATGGCCTTAACATGATCTGTAGATTACCTTAAAGAATCAAGAGACCCCTATATTCAGAGACAACAAAAACAAAATGTTGTTTTTATTATTATTGAATACATTTTTTGTCCTATTTGTCCCTCAAATTACCTCGAACCTGACCTTATGGAGGTTAACGGACCTCGCACTCGTGTTCATCGAGTTGAACACGCCATATATATGAATTTTCGGGTTAATTTAATTAATTCTTTCCGACTTGATCTTCAAATTACCTCAAACCTGACGCGATGGGGGCTAACAGACGTCAGATTCGCATTTCAGCGCGTCGAATAACATAGGGATATTGAGGTTTGGTGCAAACATTTTTTATTTTAAACCTGTGTTACTTAAAAAGCAGGCTCTCGGTTGCTCAGCACACCGGTTAATCGTTTCTGCAATTATTTTTTCACATTGGTTCTCTAAAACGAAATTTCGATGTATGCTTAAGATTAGTGTTGGGCAGTATCGATACCAAATGTACTGAGAACTCGATTCTCATTCCCAAGACAGCCGGTTCTACGTACCGGAATGACTCGGGTTTTACCCGACCAAGGGCTGTTGTTTCGGCGACCTAACCCCGCTTAAATCGGCGATACCCTACAATCATTGTTCGTCCATGGAGCAACTCCTTGCAGCCGGATTGCTCCGCATCCTTCTTCTCCGGGCGGGCGTAGAGCCCAACCCCGGACCAGAAACGTATTTCTGCTGTGTTTGCCAGAATCGACTCCATCCAAACTCCACTTCGGTTAGGTGCAACTCATGCAACGGATGGAGTCACCTAAGAACCTGCTCTGGTCTTAGGTCTCAC